CCTTGAACTCAATCTACGCCCAACACACAATGTGCTTTAGGTTTCGAAGGAGAGTGTGACTTCTCCCAGAGGTAGAAAAGCTTAATATACCAATGATAGTCAGCAAATAACCTTGAAGATAACTGATAAAAACTGCAAACGGAATTCTTCATCGAGTATTTGCTAATTAGAATGGAGCTGTCTTTTGTTCAACACATGTGGTGGTCTTAGAACATCATTAAATTCATTTCAAAACCTTACATATTATAGCTGCGAACGACTGGCGTCGAATTGCATCCTGCATACAAATTGAAATAGCACTATAATGCAGACAACACAACAAGTAAAGAGAAGTAACCGTTAATTATAACGGCACATGTCCCGTAGCTTCGTCATTACCTTCTTCGTGTGCAAGCGTTTTTGTTATTATATAAAGCCAATATTTTGACATCACGCAGTGCGTATTTCTGCTATTAAGAGACTATTTCAAGCAGTTTAACAAGATTACTAATTATGGTTAAGAGCTTATTTCTAGATAAATTGCTGTTGATAAACACATTTAATAACACACCTGATATGACATTTGCTTGGTCAATCGAACAAAAATGATGTTCGTGGATTTCTTGTGAACCTTAGTTGAAATCTTTTGAAAATATAGTTGTTTCTTTCTTGTCTCGTAGAATCGCCAGCATCCGTATTCCAGTTCTATAGTACAGCAAATAAAGTTTATTTCACAAGCTTCTAAATAAATTGTGATGCGAAGTTATTATGTTATCTTTTAAGTTACAACAGAAAATCGTTATGTCTTGAAGGTAGAAAAACGTCTATATGATAAATCACATGCTTGTTTAACATTCAGTATAAAATGTTCCATGTTATCTTTGAAACATGATTTCACATGCTACGCCCTTTTACGTTATTGGTGTTATCTCAGTGCATTACTTTGGATATCTTTATTTTTCTTTGGTTACATGTATGCCCTTTACGAAAGATAAATGTTTTTGTTAAAGATTATGATAGGTATCAGAGTAATAAATTGGTATATTGATTGTAGAATGAAGTGCAGTACCGATTCATTGATGACAATGGAAATTACACCTCCGTACAGCTTTTCTAAATAAGTAAGATCTTAATTAATATTTATTTAAACGCCTACATATAGATGTGAGTGTATTATGTTCCGTTCTTGTTCATCGAATTGTAACATTTTTACTTGAACATGATGATGGCTGTTGTATTGGTTAGATCTTGGTGAAACTTTTTTGGTGAATTGTTGTATGGAGATTGATTTCGCGGAAGGGAATGTCTTATGTTTTTAAATTGTAAAGATCGATGGTTGCACTAGCCGGTTTAAAAATTTGAACATGAGCTATCTAAGAATATCGATTGGCCGGAACAATTTTTTTTTTCTGAAAATCTTGAGCTCATACAAATCAATGTCTGTGGAAATGTCCTCAAGCCGTGCTGTGAGAAAGTTTTCTGCTGCCTAGGCAATAGATAACGTTCGAACAATCACATGTTTCGTCGAGTGCAACACCTTGTACATCCAGACACATATTCCCATTTCAACAGTTTCCATTCTTTCTTCCTTTTTACATTTATAGTCTCCATCATTCTCAGGTTCGTACAACTTAAAAATCTCTTAAGGTTCTTGAGACGTCTCATATTCGCATGATTACATCTCCACAAGGGTCATTATCAATTCCATAGAAAATTGAATGAATCCAATTCTTATAATCTAAGTGGAGTCCAATGTTTGGATAAATATCGTAAATAACTCAAGAAAGTTGATTTGAGATGTCATGTCTACAGCATGAACTCCATTCTTGTTGGCCAATTCCTTTCAGAATTTAGCATTGACTATAATTTTTCTGTAGCCGAACAACTGAATTGGTTCTGGTTGAAACCTCCAACGTTCTTGTTATGGTCAACGCTGGCTTCTGTTCTGGTAGAGAAATGTTTCACCATGTCCATGGAATTGTTATGATCAACGCTGGTTTCTGTTCTGGTAGAGAAATGTTTCACCATGTCCATGGAATTGTTATGGTCAACGCTGGTTTCTGTTCTGGTAGAGAAATGTTTCACCATGTCTATGGAGTTGTTATGATCAACGCTGGTTTCTGTTCTGGTAGAGAAATGTTTCACCATGTCTATGGAGTTGTTATGATCAACGCTGGTTTCTGTTCCGGTAGAGAAATGTTTCACCATGTCTATGGAGTTGTTAACACCAAGACACTGTGTGTCACAGGCTATCAATGTTCAAGACCCACGACAGTTGGAAATTGAACAGACTGTAGGATGATACCACTATACAGACCAAATTTCCTTCAATGTAAATCTTCATCAGCCCAAACAGTTGCAGAAAAGAAAACTTTATTTGAAACCGAACTTCCACGACTGCAAGAAACTGGTGATATCTGAAAGTATCTCAAATTATTCGAAATAGGCATTGTTTCAGCTCAAATGCTTGAGTATTGCAGGTGAAACTACATTTTGTTAGCATTATCTCTAACTATGGTCTTTGAAATCAGAAAATGTATAATTTGGGTGATAAAGACAACATATAATTTGTTAACAACTAAATGATAGTATTCATTATCAAGAAAGGTTCACGAACACAATAGGTCAGACTTGTTGATTGATATCAATGCTATTTCAAAACAGTATTATTATATTATAAATATACAGCAGAGCATGTTGTTAATGTTGCCAAATTTGGTGAGGGGATATCCAGCATATAATTGGTATTCCCACTAGTTGTATTCCTTTAGTTGATGACATATTTCTTTATTCTTATGAGCCGGAATTGATTAAAGACTCAATAAGCAACTTTCCATTCCACTTTCCGATACATAGATAACATTTTGTCACTGAATAACTTCACATTTTGAAGACTAAAGGAAATCTACCCAGAAGAGTTGAAATTAAAAGACACCACTGATTCTAAGACTAAAGCGTCCTACTTACTACTCGAAATTGTAAAGAACCACGATCTTAATGTCAGATTGTTTGACAAACGTGACAACTTTGATTTTTCTATAGTTAATTTTCAATTCATGTGCAGTAACATACCTCAATCACCAACTTATTGTGTCTGTGTTTCTTCTAAACCTATCCGCTATGCTAGAGCTTGTAAGGACTTTCTGGCTAAAGATCGAAATTGCTGAAACAGGGTAACCTGACACACATCATGTAGGCTAGTCTACAACAACAACCACAACAAGAACTACAACAAATCTGCTTCTTGATTTACTTGGTCTTGATTTATCTGATGAATCAAACATGAATGGAACTGGTGTTGGGTTATCTCATGATCTAGACCTCATATAGTAGTGGAGGATGTCGCGCAGACACTGTCGTTTACAAATTAGCTTAACGACCTATCGTGTTACGTAAAATAAGGACATTATAAGATTTTGAGAATACTTTTCACATCCGACTCAAAAGCCCGCCGCAGACGAGAGGAACTAGATGGACTGCCTGCCTCAAAAGGGTCGAGAGCTGAGCTGTGATATTTCTGCCCAGAGACGATGTGAGGTAAATACCTCTCCTATGTGGTATTTCCTGCCTCAAGAGGCCATCATTTCAAGGTGTGCGGACGTGTAAGCTTCCAGCTCAGCTAGAATAAGTAGCTAATTAATAAAAATACACGATAACGGATCACGTAGTATCTACATGGTAACCGTGAATGATGCAATTTTAGAAGATTAACGGATGCAGTCCCAAAGTTCTTATGTTTTTGTTGTCGTACCGAATTGGCCGAAAATTTTCTAGTGAGATAATACCGAAGGCGATAGCTCTCTTCAGCGGTGAACAAAAGTAGTGAGTATCTTGCTCAGCTGACAACCTCTCGAGACAGGCAGCTCAGCTAGTTCCTCTCGTCTGCGGCAGGCTTAACACAATGTATTATGAAAATGAAGGTGCGCACAATATATTTTTAAACAAAATGTCATCTTACGCAGCATTCCTGTAGTTCTTAATATGTTATCTACCAATAATTCCGATAGTTCAATCGAGATTACATCTAATTCGGTTTATACTATAATGAATTATTGTTTGACGATATCTGTAATTAATGAAGTTTCTAGAGTGATAACGGGAATGATAACGGGAGGCCAATGAGTTGATTTGTATACAATCGAACTAAACTAATGGTAACCATGCGCATCTAATGTAGCTTAATGATAATCAACCTTTAATTAATGATAATTAACCTTTACTAGTGAAGTGACAATTAATTCTTACAGCTGCTGCCTTCCTATTAGAAAATTATTTTTAAAATTAAAAACGAGCTTGCATGCAAGGAAAAATGTTCTCACTTTAACGTTTAATGAATTTTGCAAAACGTTCATCCTAGTTTGGCAATTTACCAATATGCAACAGATTATACCTTCTAGAGTTTTTTTTATGTAAAATCCGAACGCATTTAGACAATACCACCTAGAATATTATTTTTTTTCATAGAATTATATCCTATTTTTGATACGCGTCGATATTGTATTCATCTTTTCATGATATTTGAATGCAACAATGTACATTAAGATACGGTATAATATGATATATTTTTTTCTTAAAAGATTCGCCCACTAGAAACATCTTAGAGTTTCATAATGATCAATTTTAAGGTTAAGAAGGTACGTCGCCTCTGGGATTCAGTTTAATGTATTTTTGTTTGATGCTAATGTTATTGATGAAACTGATTAATTGATGTCAGTCAGTGAGACTATATTCTAATATATGAATTACCTGACAGCCCTTTGATATCGGCCATCCGATCTGTCACTTATTAATTTCTATAATGGATTTGTTATGGTATTTTCGAACCGTTTACCTAAAGGGGAAATAGAAAAAAAATACATCGTTCCAAAGCCTACCAGTATTTTATATTATTAATGTAACAAAGACTTCCTTCTCATTGTGGATTTACTCTAGATAAATTTTTCAAAGAGGAAGTGGCCGAGAAAATACGAAACGCGACGGCCGCTATCGATTTAAATTTTATCCTATTACGCGAATACGCTCTATTTTATCATTATTTGTCGGTTAATATTGCACAAAAGTGCTTGAAAATATTGCTTGATGTTATTTACAATATTACTTGGAACAATACTACTACCAACATTACTTGAAACAATACTACTACCAACATTACTTGAAACAATACTACTACCAACATTACTTGAAACAATACTACTACCAACATTACTTGGAACAATACTACTACCAACATTACTTGAAACAATACTACTACCAACATTACATGAAACAATACTACTACCAACATTACTTGGAACAATACTACTACCAACATTACTTGGAACAATACTACTACCAACATTACTTGAAACAATACTACTACCAACATTACTTGGAACAATACTACTACCAACATTACTTGAAACTATACTACTACCAACATTACATGGAACAATACTACTACCAACATTACTTGGAACAATACTACTACCAACATTACTTGAAACAATACTACTACCAACATTTCTTGGAACAATACTACTACCAACATTACTTGGAACAATACTACTACCAACATTACTTGGAACAATACTACTAACATTACTTGAAACAATACTACTACCAACATTACTTGGAACAATACTACTACCAACATTACTTGGAACAATACTACTACCAACATTACTTGGAACAATACTACTACCAACATTACTTGGAACAATACTACTACCAACATTACTTGAAACAATACTACTACCAACATTACTTGGAACAATACTACTACCAACATTACTTGAAACAATACTACTACCAACAGTGTTACTATCGATATTGTTTGAAACGAAGCTAATACCAGTATTGCTTGAGCAGGAATAGTACTATTACCGATCTGGCATGAAACAATGATACTACCAAAATAGCTTGAATCAAACCCACTACCGATATTGCTTGAAAGAATGATTGTACTATACCGATATTGCTTGAAAGAATGATTGTACAATACCGATATTGCTTGAAACAATGATTGTACTATACCGATATTGCTTGAAACAATGATTGTACTATACCGATATTGCTTGAAACAATGATTGTACAATACCGATATTGCTTGAAACAATGATTGTACTATACCGATATTGCTTGAAACAATGATTGTACAATACCGATATTGCTTGAAACAATGATTGTACTATACCGATATTGCTTGAAACAATGATTGTACTATACCGATATTGCTTGAAACAATGATTGTACTATACCGATATTGCTTGAAACAATGATTGTACTATACCGATATTGCTTGAAACAATGATTGTACAATACCGATATTGCTTGAAACAATGATTGTACTATACCGATATTGCTTGAAACAATGATTGTACAATACCGATTTTGCTTGAAACAATGATTGTACTATACCGATATTGCTTGAAACAATGATTGTACTATACCGATATTTCTTGCTCACTCATTGAACCCTACATGGCGTTGCCAGTCTTCATTAGCCCACATGGTGCAGAAAAGTAGGACGTAAAAACTATATTCATTTCATTTTCAAATTGAGAACGTTGCCATTTAAATTCTTGAAATCCGTAATGAGTCGCACTTAAAACCTGTAAAACTTATTTTCATTTATTTATGCCCGGAAGGTTTAAAATTGTTGTTTAAGATTGTTGTCTACACGACATCTTATTGACATTGATTATTTTCTATAATACAGACACTAAATGTAAAGAAACAAATTTCTTGTCATATTGACAAATGCATAGCATTAATATAAAAACAAGTTTAACCCAAATGATGGGTCGCGTGTTCTCCGATAACAGCATTATAAAGCTAAACGACCAAAAACCCTGGTTAAATAACGTTTTATGTGTTAGTTTACTCCTATCAACAGAAAGGAGACACTTTGAAAAGATATTTTCACTGACAGTAATTGTCGAATTGGGAACAGATTTTCTCAACAATTCAATATAAGTCTCAACCAGCCAACCAATTTTGCATTCAAGTCGGTCTCCCCTCGATATAAAGCTAAATCAATCCGAATCTAATCACATTATGTGTAATAATTTTGTCTAAGTGTCAATTTATCTCTATTTACGTCAGATGATTATTACTGGTGTAAAATAAGATACATAGTTTAAACCTTGTAGCCTTTTACATTTTATATGGGATAGATGTACTATATGCTGAAGTTGGGTTGTTATCATTTGTAACAGGTGTTGATATCCAGACCAATTATTCTTTTAATAACGAGCCATATCTATTCTGAACAGGCATAGAGACAAATCGAAATATATTTAACATGGGTTATTCCCCTTGTTCAATCTTTAGCTCGTATACTTCAGAAGACAAAATTCTGGACTGATTTAGACAAAACTTGTTGAAATTAAAATAAGTGTCTTTGAATAAAGCTTGTACAGTATGAAAATGTTACTATCGAAATATTTCATTTATTGATAGCTCTTGTCAACAACCCGAATGACTAGTCTGTCATTACAATGGGCCATTGTTATTTTTTAAAGTGTATGAAAACTGATTCAGAGTTAACTAAAATTAAAACATGATCTGTATTGGTTACTGAATGTCGACTTGGGGTGGGTATGAAATTTCTTTGTACATCCCATCATCTAAATGTTTGATCCTGTGATTGAAGTTTCAGATTAGTTCTGTTTGTGTTTTGTATTTACAAATGTTAACGCTTTGGTGAATAAGACTTATCCCTCTTTATCATGTATTTGTTTAAATTCTATCGTACATAGACAAGGGAAATTGGTCATTTCTATAAACTTGCCTAAGTATTCCAAATGAATACCACCGAACCTTATATAAAAGTGCAAGTTTTGATAGATATTGTTGGCCATTCGATGGATGAAAAAAGGCGTTCATGTCCAACGTATCTTCTGTACTTTATCGAATTAGACTAGAAGTATGATTCGCCAACTTCAACAAGGCTGAGAAGAGCTCTTAATAATACTTCTATCTCACGAAGGGTATCTTATCGTTTTAGCGAATCCCACTCAATGTCTCTTTTAGAATAAGAGATATTTTAAGAAGTCTCGAAGGAGTTCTAAAATATTACGAAGCAAGGTTAAGATTAAAAGGACTTAAATACGTATTTGAACTGTTTAATTTTGTTATTCAAGATCTGACTAATTTTTACTTCGATAATATTTCCATAAGCTCTTTAAGATTTTTTACCTTTAGGCATATTCAACAAATAATTGTTTAACGTTAAATGTTTACTATCTTAAGATTTCCATAACCGCTGAAGAAGTTAGATTGCTCAAGTTAGTCAATACATTATTTTCTTATAAACCGTTCAATTTTTTCTATGATAATATTTCCATAACCTGAAAAGATTTGTAATTTCTTTAGTTCGTCCTAATAAAGCATATTAAACAAATTAATGTTAGAAAAAAGTTCCTATGATAATATTTTCATAGCTCTGAAGTATTTTTCTCTGTTTAGCATATTCAACAATTCAACATTTCTTTTTGCAATCAATAAATTGAGTGGATGGAACAATCCACAACACAATAACATGCATATACATCACTCGGGGGTCAGCCACACCTTGGTTCCTCTCAGAAAAGGGAATAAGCTAATCGGTTATAGATTTTAAGCTTACCTTCGACATTTGAACCTTCTTAGTCATGTGTATCTATAAATATAGTTTTTTTTAAAGTTAAAAGGCGGCCGCGACGTTTAAATGAATAAACGCATATTTCTATTATATATCAGGGTTGTTAATAGGCTTAGATCATCAGTTTTAGACCAATTTGATAGCTTCCATTTGTCTATGAAATTCTTTCAAAACCAAAATTAGATCCTCGATGTTATTGCGCAATTAATATCTTTGAATATTTAGTTCCCGAACAGGACAATAACAGATCGGTAAACTGTTCTAATGTTATCACATCACAAGATAATAAGTATAAATACACATGTTCAGTATTTAACTATGTACTGCATCTTTAAAGTGTGCATTATGCAGAAAAGTACAAGGTACTACCTGGAATTTTTGCTTTGTGGTATATGAAAAATAAACGCATACAACTTCTGCTTTGGCTTCAAACACATTATGCTGAATTTCATTGCTTTTTTTAGACTATTAGTTAATTTTTTTATATTTTGTTTTATTAATTGTGTGATTAAAGTTGAACTCTTAACAGCTCCAGGTAGTTATTTACAATTCTCTTTTCGAAATCGAATCCTTTGTACGATTATAATTTCGTTAAATGTTAGCCATAAACTGTTAAGTATGAAAGAAGCATTAAATGTTTATTGACGAAGTGTAAAATGTTCTTTGGGATCTGATGGAAATATTTAAATCGCCATTTCGATCTATTGGGACATCAAATAGTCATAAATATCGAAGGAACATATAAATAACATATCGTTATCAATGGTTTTGTTTTAAAGCCACTTAATTCAAGAGATATAATCATCAAGATTTGAGTAATGTAACTAAGGTTAACAAATTCCAAAAGATTCCTATCGCAGACAGCAGAAATGATATAAAACGTGTACGTCCTATTATTTGGCAGATGTGTCTGTGTCTGCTACTAAACTGAATTTAACAGCACTTTAACTTCAAGACCTAGGTTCATGCTTTTAATGAAAATTCTATCCTCGTAGCACCCTAACATTAGGTCTTTGACGTATGCAGATGGCAGCAAGCCCTACTCATCCAATTACTTAAGAAATTATATTCCGATTTTTATTAGCCGTAACCGTTCAGACATAAAAACAATAGTATGAAACAGTCATATCTACATATAGGAACAAGAAATGTAGAATTTACAAAACCATCTTTACTTTCTGAACTATAGTGCTTTTAGTGGAAGTCAATCCTAGAAAGTAATTGGTCAAACGGTAAAAATATGAATGATATTATTCACCGTAATATTGACATGTTTAAGAGATGCGAGAGTAATTTTAGTCAGGCAAATCATTTCTCATGTCATGGCGTCTAACTAATGAGACTTTCATAGTGCCTTTTTATGGTGCTTGTTGGTTACCCAAACAGGTTTGTTTTAGATGGCATCCGGTAAAGTAATCCATGGCTAATTAGATACCTATAACTATTTGATTTGGACCTTTGACATCTGGTGGTGGTAGTTGTAGATGTCGAGTTAACGTCCGCTTTCGGTAAACTGATATCGTAGATAGGTAGTTGTTGATAGATGACAAGTTAACGTCCACTCCAATTTACTGATATCTTAGAGTAGATAGCAGATGGCAAGTTAAAGCCCAATATGGGCTTCCAGTAAACTGATATCTTAGGTAGTTGTTGGCAGATGACCAGTTAACGTTCGCTTCCAGTAAACTTAACCGCAGACTAGGTAGTTGTCGGCAGACGACAAGTTAACATCTCTTTCAGGTTAACTGATATCGTAGACTTGGTAGTTGGCAGATTAGAAGTTAACGTTAACCAACTGGTAAGACTAGGTTATTGTTTGTAGTCGAGGTAGTTGATCTGGAACAGTTGAATTGTTTTGCACTTTTGGTTCGGTAGTCGGTTAAACCATCTTGTTTGTTCTGCAAAAACTCGTTGGGATCATGGTATTTCTTGCTGATTGGAAGTCGTTGGAATGATCAATTTATCGTATCGATGAGAACAGTGACAGGCATATAGAGAGAGTAGTTCTATCATACACCTTCTATTACTTATACCTGAGCTTAATCCATTAAAGAAACAAACTACCTTTAGTTTACGTCGTGCAGATCGATATCCAAAACGTAATTGCTTAAGCGAGAAATATATTGGTTCGTGTTTCTCAAAATGCACTCGTGTTCCGGAAGAACCAACAAGCTAAACATCGCCTAGTCAGGAATACTAGGTCTGCTTTCATGTTGTAATAGATTATGATAAATGATTTTCTCAAAACAAGCAGTATCCATCATTCTTAAACATCATAAAAATCTAGTTAACATGGTTAGAATTGCTACTTATACACTGTGACAATATAATGATAACTTCCGCTTTGAAATCCTAATTACGACATCTCTACTTTAAAAATCTACCATATTGAAAATCTAGATACGATACTGTCTCAATGCCCTTAAGAAATCCCAGATACCTTACTTTCTCTACAATCTACAACCAAAAACAATTACCTTATACCTAGATACCGCCTGTACTGAAAAAAATAAATGTCTTACTGAAATCCTAAATACGCTCATAGACAAACTGACGGTATCTATCCATAACTGCCAATTCCACTGCATATCTGCACGGAACAACGACCCAAAGTTTCAGAAGACCTTCTTCATCTGAAAAAATTAGGCTTGCATATAACCCTTGCCGTTACTGTAAGTCAACTCATTATAAAAGAAGTGATATCGAACTATTTTTAGTCAACTTTATAACTTTGTTAAAGGAAGTTTATCAGTGACGTCACAACCTCGAGATAGATAGCAGATGTCCCGGGGATAACTCAGTATGTGGGAGGTGTTTTTTAAGATCGCTGATTTCAGTGTTAGGTCCAGACAAACATTAATGTTAATAACTATATTTCCTTCGTCTTGATATAGGACAAATTAGACTTTTGTCGGATATATGGATGGCATTGTCATATCACAATATTGATCAGCTACAACCATTGGGAGATTAATTATCGATGTTCTTAGAAACCTCCTACCAACTATTCATGCAATTATAAAAAGGTGAAAAGTCTGCAATTGTACCGGAATGCTATAAAAAAAAAAATCAATCGCAATTATGTGTTAATAGTCTGAAAAAATCCCGCGATTAATAGACTACTCTTTAGCGGAAAATCACTATGAGGTAATAATCGAGTGTAAGTGTTAAGACCTTCGTTAAGTCATAATGACAGTCGATCTAACTGTGAAGGTAAAGATCAATGCCAAGTGGTTTGACCAAAGACAAGCTGGTAGAAAGGATCCTTTGAAAACCGAAGTTGTCCTTTTACTGTGATATATTATATGGACGGTTTGATCTTCATCTGCCGTGTTACGATTTGTAATTCCATTTTCGCTCAATGCAAAGTGGTTTGACAAGCAGGTTGAAAGGACTTTTGAAAACCAAGGTTACTTGTACTGTTCTATATTTTATGAAGGAGTTGATCTCGACTTCCTGCTATTTTAAGAGCTATATATGTATACTTGAGAAATATAGACGTGTTACATTTCAAGCCGAGAATGTGATTTATTCGTGGCATGATGTACAGGATGTGTTCATTCAATTACCTTTATATTTAAAATAACTACTCGATGTTACTATTAGCCCATTTTAACTAGCAAGGTGAATGTTTCTTTTAGTAAAGTTTCAAATAAAAACGAATAATTTGGTTAAGGTGCCAAAGTTTTAATAATTTCAACTGCAGTTCATGATCTTGTTATAAATGAAGGTTTTTATTTCACTTACTCATTAGGAAAGAGTTCATATTGCATCCTAATATTTATTATGTTCAGGATTTTTTTTATGATATTGTTCGATCACAAAATAAACATAAACAGTGTTAAGCCAAATAGCATGACTCCATTTATAAAGTGTCAAATTTTCTGTAATAATTTCTAAAAAAATGCAAATTCAAATTTACTAATTGAGCACGAAGGTGGTTTTTGACATGCTAGAAAATGATTTTGTTGATTATATTGACATTAGATATAACTATGCTTCTTTTTTAAGTTAGTAATTGCTTCGTCCTTGAACAACAAATCATGTCAACAAAAAACAAGTCAACGAACCCATCCGCTTTAAAATCGATGAACAAGTTTTGCCTCATTCATTACAGTTCTCTTGCTATTTTAACGCGTTTCAGTTTTTTCAAATCGATTCCTTTTTGTTTGTGATGTCAGATCGGGAGAGATGAATAGGTCAAAGAATGTAAACGTTCGGATTGGAGAATAAACCAATCCTCTATGATCTGAATTTCTTGGAATGACAAAATCTGCATGTCCCATTAGCTCCATCAGGTGCAGATCAGTAGGCGTAATACGTCTAAATAATTCATCTCGAATGATGAAAGTGGGTATTTTATGAGCGTCCGGTCTTTACCACTTACGCCTCCATTGACATCTGCTTGTCAGCGAGACACTTGGCGTATCTATTCAATGTATGATGTTGTTGTAATGTATATTAATGGGAGTATCAGTACGGGTCCTGAACAAATACTTCAGACATTGATAACTGTTGCAATTAACCTTTGTTAATGTAATCGAATATTGATGAATTGCGATTACAGAAGTTAGTCAAGCCTTGTTTCAGTCAAAGACTCGCCAATTCCGATAGCATTTTGTTGTTTTCATGACATTTTGAATATTTTTGGTAGGTCTTCAGGTGATTCATTTGTCAGTGCAATGAAGACTGGTCAACTGAAACACATCAAAATAATAGAGACTGTCAACTCGCGTTATCTTACATACTAAATTTACAACATTATCCAGAAGACGTAATCATACACGTTTCCGATTGAATAAATTTTGCCATGTTTTTCTCAGTAACCCTTCATACATACACAGAACTTTCTTGATATCGTGTATCCACTTGAAAGATTTAGGTGGATCATAAGATAAAGACAGTTCTCTCTGTAACATATGTTGATATCATGAAAGGTACAATATGATGTCAATTCTGGTTTGCTTGGGATGAACTGTTCATATAACATAAGCGATATTGAACTGTTCATATAACACAAGCGATATTGATACCTTAGCATCAAGCCGTAATTTACAAATACACAGTAGTGCCTATTTTAGGAAACTAAATTCCATACGGATGGTTTCAATATTCGAAGTAATTATCTCCGCGAAATTGTAATTAGGAATCTACACTGGCATTGCAACCTGCAAATTCAATTGATATGTGTAAGTTCGCACAGTCGGTGTAAATAAGAGTTGATTATTCCATCACTGAAGTTATGAAAAGTAATAAAGCATTGGTAGAATAGCTGAGTCAGTTAATAGGCTCAACTGATGTGTCAAGATCGGATCTTTCTTCCTTTAATATAATGACAGGTAAAGAAGAGGTTATTGGCATCTTTTCTTTTGCCGTTAAAGCCCCTACTCTCGAGGGTCAATATCAAATAAGTTATCGATGGCGATTTTTCGTGATTTATGTATATGTAAGCTTAAATACAGGTGTGATCTTTAATTTGATTTTCAAAGACAAAAATCAGTGATTAAGAAAAATTAACACGTATTACTTAAAAGCTGAACATGCTTTGAAAGGTTGTTACTATGATCCGATTCTGTCTAATGGTGTTAACCTATTTCTGAACCCATGTGATGGTTAAGCTCAATAACCTGATGCCCATGGTCATATGCTCAGATCATGTGATTAGTTTCAAATCCAAACCTTTTTGATCCTCAATGGAAATCGATATCACCAAGGACAACATGGTGGTAATGCAAGGTCATCAGCTTCTGGCCACTGCACATCTTACTGCCAGTACCGTAATCACCGTCGGATATACATTTCATATCAAAGACACTATATTACAGACATTTTAGATATTGGATTGTGATTGATGTCTGGTTACCTTTGATCTATCCACTCCTGGCGTATTTTAGTGGGGTTTCAATAATAATGAGACCTTAAAACATTTGTAAAAGGAAAATAAAATGGCGAAAATAAATGTGAAATAATTTTACATAATGCTTGCCATAACAAATTTAAGAATCCAAGAATCCCATCGATTTCAGGTTTGTCGAGCTATGGTGTCGAGCTATGGTTTCAAGCCATCAGCAGTCTTGTAAACAAGGAACATTCAAGACGTTTCTGTGTAGTGAGCGTTGAACTGTGTTTCAAATGTACTTCTTGATGTAGAAGGTCGCAAAATACCCTTCATATCATATAGACCATCATATTTGAGTTTACAACAGCCTTTAGGTAATATAACAGTCCTTTACTCCAATAGTGTAATGAAATAATATATTTCCAGACATTTCAGTTGCAGTAAGTTGTTATTCAGTTCACTACAAATAGCAGAGCAGTACGATGCGGTGTAAAGCATTGTACGAGGACACGAGCAGATGTAACTGTGACCATAATTCAATATATTTATCCCAGAATCCCTTAAATAGTAAATGCTTCTTATGAAAGTCGCCATGTCTGACATTAACAAGACCTTTTTTTACACGAGCTTGAAGATGTCAGTGATCTTTAGAACAATTGTTGTGGCTGCAACTACGTTTTCGGCTAATTAGTTCGATCGTTCCTAAAGGCATCTTCAAATTGAGGTCGCGGATCGAAATAATTCCCATACAAAAAGTAGAAGAGGAGAAGCTGCCAAAAGCATGTTAATGGTCACCTGACTTCTAGCAATTATTGAGCAAATTCTAGAACATCATATTGATCTGTTGAGTGTTAGGTTCTTAATAACACAATATTTGAAAACTACAGGAAGAAATTATTGTTTATTAGAACTTGGCAGTGACTGTCGGTGTAGATTGATTATATGTTCCATATCTTAGGCACGTAATGTTGCTTCTGATGTTTTTATTTCTTTTGTGGCCCCTCTGTCAGACATTGTATAATCGTCGGATAGGACAATAAACCGAAGCCCCATGTGCACATTAATTAAATGCTGTTTTTGTTTCATGGGAAATACAGAGTTAGTATTAGTTACTTCAAATTTTGTCTTGTTTTCTATTGGAGAGCTCTGGTAGCTAAAATTATTTCGACTTCACGACATATGACGTATAAATGTTGGGCAACCAATCAGAATTATATAATGGACACACATGATATAATAATTATGCAAATAAAGTGTATTTCTCTCTAGAGGGCATGCGTCTACTAATTTTTCAAATGTTTACCGAATAGAATCAAGTGGTAATTACAACTTCCAAGTAGGAAACTTCCAATTTCCCAGAGGTAACAAATACAGCAGTATCCCACGACTTTTATGCCGCTGTTACGACATAATACCTAATTGCACACTGTATGGTTTTGCCAGTCTTCATAACCACTATAAAGGTGCAGAAATGTAGAACCTGAAATTGAAATCAATTCATTTCATTTCTCTCAAATAACAGTCTTCGGTTGTTACCAATGACATCATAATATACCTTTTGGTTGAAAACGCCTTAAAAGTGGCAACAATCCAAATTGGTGCCTTTTTTGATTCAATGCGAAAAAAAAACACGTCAAATTCAAATTTCAAAGTGGATACCTAGAAGTAAGTTATGTTACAAAACGCCCTCAGATCGTTTAAACATGGAAATATGGTAAGCAGCGTCTAGTAACAGCCGAACAATTACTATAATTTTGAGAAGTGAATGGGAACAGGTCATCATTTATTCCTTTCGTCTGATTTCTGATCCCTTAGGCTGCTGATTAGACGGTAGAAAACCACTTGAGATATAATGTTAAAAAGCGAACACAACTGCTTAAATGTTTAAATGAATTGTTAACATGACCCGGCTTGATTTTGTACATTGTGGACTTTTTTGTTTCTGCTCTTAGAATCTTACATGATCGTTTAACCATTACGCAATTCACCATTTAGATGACACTTTCACTTTTTGTCATTGACTTTAAATGCAACAGAACATGTTCCATTATGTCCACCCACATACAATGGTAATTACAGCTTACAGTGTATTTAGTTAATTATTAAGAAAAAAGTACAATTTCAGTGTCAGTTTTCCAGATCTCCATGTAAAAATATTTTCGTGGTCTGTTTGTAATTGATATGTATGCTTAAAGATATCTTTATGCGTGTCAAAGAAAATTACTACCATTTGAGTCAATCTTCTTTTAAGACGAATAACCTTCAAGAATTCAATATCGTTAAAAACATCTAGACTTTTGATTAAATCTATCAGTCGAAAGAAAATGTAATTTCGATTCCGAAGAGAACTCCTTTATCAAAAAACAAGATATGCTTGCTAATTTGATAGCATGTTTTAAACATTTACGTGTATTCGGAAATTATCGATCACAGAAAAATGACCATAGAAATTTTCAAATATTTTGTAATGACGGACACTAACTATATGTACTGTTAACTCTTTTGAAGTGTGCTCTGAAATACTGATAGAACAATAAATAAAAATCAATTTTATCCCCATTATTTCATATTAAATATTAACATTTATTTCAAAAATTGTGTTATTTTACCAAGTTATCTCCCTTGAAGTGTGGTTGACCTACATGCAGGAAGAGAAGTTTATACCGTATTGTTGATGTTTATAAGATGTCATAGAGTTATATAATTTATAACTCTTCTTATTATTACTTCAATATCATATAATCACATTTTAAATATTAACATTTATCTTAAATATTGTTTTATTTTACCAAATTATCTCCCTTGAAGTGTGATTGACCTACATTAGAAAGTTTTTAAATTATCTCCCTTGTAGATGCATTCATATCATTATGTACTTAAAGGTTTGTTTTTTTTTTTGGCAACTTAGAACTTCGAACTATGTGCAGTTGTTCG